GCGTCGGCCTCGCGATCGTGTCTGAGTTCATCGGGAGCTCATAATATCACACATGCCGCAACTGAGGACTCTCGACAGCAAGTTCTTCCGTTGGCGCTGCCTGTGGGTCTATCTATATATCCAGTTGCGCCGCCGCGCATATAGGAAGGTGGGTCCTCAAAAGAAACGAGCACACAAATCATTCCACCAGTCAGTGATCGGGGGTATTGCCTCGACGCGCATGTGGCCGAACCTGTGGGCTCGTCTGGGACCGTCTGGGAGCCCTCTCGGGCCCTCTCAGGGCCGTTTTTGGCGTCCCAAGAGGGGTTTGAGGGCAATGTTTCAGGGTCTTAGTGCCGTTCCGCGTGACGGCGTGTATTTACTGGAGGTGAATCTGCCGCCGCAGCAGCAACGTAGGTGCAGCAGCGCCAGGACGAGCAGGATCGCGCAGGTCTTGGGGCCATCTTGGGGCGGTCTTGGGCAGCGTTGGAGACGTCCTGGAGGCCAGCTGGGAGCCCTTGGGGTCATCTTGGGTGTCTAGTGGGCCGTCTGGGAAGGCTCTTGGGTGCCGTTGGAGCCCATCTTGGAGCCATCTCAGGCCAGACCGTGAAACATTGAGCGATGCGACAATTACACCAGGAGTAAAAGCGAAATAATGGTGACGACGTTTGCCTGTCGGGGAGCGTCGCGCAGTCATCCTGTCGCTTCTGGAGTCATAGTGTGCCTTCTTGGAAACATCCAAGAGCCAATGTTGGCTATCATGGACCCTCTGGAGGCCATCTTAGTCGATCGTAGAGCCATCTCAGGGCCCCGTTCGGGGCCATCGGCGGGGTCCAGTGGCCAGGGCGCGGCCCAGTCATGACCGCTGATGTGACGGAGGAAGGGTAAATGTCCGTCCGATTGATCCGATTCGATGTCGATTCTGGCTGGACCGATCCGACTCGGTTCCGTTGTTCCAACGATCCGGTGCGGCCCGTTGATTGCATGGCGTTGTGGTGCATCCTGGCGCAGCCGATCTGATTCGATCATGATCCCGTGCCGACGCGGCTCGACTCGACCCGATTCCCCCGATTCGATGTTGATTGATCCTGCAGAGGCGGGCGCTGGCCCCTGAGGATGCACGGACAACCGCCCAGAGCACAGGTCGGCACTCAGACGCGCACGCGACGCGTTGCATGCGCAGCGGCGGATCAGATGTGGGCCACCGGCATGATCGCGTGGAATGTTGGCAGGGTTGTCCCGAAAAAGAAAGAACCACATAAACATAAACTTTTGGCGCTCCGCGCGGATTTCTTGGATCCGCGCCTGGGCCCCCCAGCGGCGCCTCCGGCGCCGCCCCTGCCGCGCGGAGCGCGCCAGGGAGGGGGGTCCACCGCGAATCCAAGAAATCCGCGCGGAACGCCAAAAGTTTATGTTTACGTGTTTGTTCCCAACCATCCTGTGGTGTTGGGTCCTCGTTTTGAAGAAACGGTGCCCCGCGTCTCCTCTCCTTCCTCCTCCTCCCCCTCCTCCCTCCTCCCCCTCCGCGTCAGCCACGCCCACTTCGGCACACCCCTCACACGTTTCGTGGCCCAATAGGGAGCTCCACCGAGGGCCCCAGCGGCTGCGTTCGCATGGCGGCACCGCACCCATATCGGCACACCCCTCACACGCTTCGTGGCCCCATAGGGAGCTCCACCGAGGGCCCCAGTGGCTGCGTTCGCATGGCGGCACCGCGCCCATTTCGGCACACCCCTCACACGTTTCGGGGCCCCATAGGGAGCTCCACCGAGGGCCCCAGTGGCTGCGTTCGCATGGCGGCACCGCACCCATTTCGGCACACCCCTCACACGTTTCGTGGCCCCATAGGGAGCTCCACCGAAGGCCCCAGTGGCTGCGTTCGCATGGCGGCACCGCGCCCATTTCGGGCGTTTCCACACATCCACGCTTCGTGGCCGGGAGCTCCACCGAGGGCCCCAATGGCTGCGTTCGCATGGCGGCACCGCACCGGCACACACCTCACACGCTTCGTTTCCACCGAGGGCCCCATCGCAGGCACCGATTTCGGCACACCCCTCACACCCATAGGGAGCTCCACCGAGGGCCCCAGTGGCTGCGTTCGCATGGCGGCACCGCACCCATATCGGCACACCCCTCACACGTTTCGTGTCCCCTGAGGGAGCTCCACCGAGGGCCCCAGTGGCTGGGTTCGCATGGCGGCACCGCACCTATTTCGGCACACCCATCACACGCTTCGTGGCCCCATAGGGAGCTTCACCGAAGGCCCCAGTGGCTGCGTTCGCATGGCGGCACCGCACCCATTTCGGCACACCCTTTACACGTTTCGTGGCCCCATAGTGAGCTCCACCGAAGGCCCCAGTGGCTGCGTTCGCATGGCGGCACCGCACCCATTTCGGCACACCCCTCACACGCTTCGTGGCCCCATAGGGAGCCCCACCGAAGGCTCCAGTGGCTGCGTTCGCATGGCGGCACCGCGCCCATTTCGGAACACCCCTCGAACGTTTCGTGGCCGCGTAGGGAGCTCCACCGAGGGCCCCAATGGCTGCGTTCGCATGGCGGCACCGCACCGGCACACCCCTCACACGTTTCGTGGCCCCAATAGGGAGCTCCACCGAGGGCCCCAGTGGCTGCGTTCGCATGGCGGCACCGCACCCATTTCGGCACACCCTTCACACTTCGTGGCCGCATAGGGAGCTCCATCGAGGGCCCCAGTGGCTGCGTTCGCATGGCGGCACCGCACCCATTTCGGCACACCCCTCACACGTTTCGTGGCCCCTGAGGGAGCTCCACCGAGGGCCCCAGTGGCTGGGTTCGCATGGCGGCACCGCACCCATTTCGGCACGCCTCGCACGTTTCGTGGCCCCATAGGGCCATAGGGAGCCCCACCGAGGGCTCCAGTGGCTGCGTTCGCATGGCGGCACCGCACCCATTTCGGCACACCCCTCACACGCTTCGTGGCCCCATGGGGAGCTCCACCGAGGGCTCCAGTGGCTGCGTTCGCATGGCGGCACCGCGCCCATTTCGGGACACCCCTCACACGTTTCTTGGCCCCATAGGGAGCTCCACCGATGGCCCCAGAGGCTGCGTCCACATGGCGGCACCGCGCCCATTTCGGCACACGCCTCACACGCTTCGTGGCCCCATAGGGAGCTCCACCGAAGGCCCCAGTGGCTGCGTTCGCATGGCGGCACCGCACCAGTTTCCGCACACCTCTCACACGCTTCGTGGCCCCAGAGGGAGCTCCACCGAGGGCCCCAGTGGCTGCGTTCGCATGGCGGCACCGCACCCATTTCGGCACACCTCTCACACGTTTCGTGGTCCCTTAGGGAGTTCCCTCTCATTCGTTCAACCTGCTTTGCGGTACTCGCAACTGCATATGGTTGGGTCCATCGCCAGGATATTTTTTCTTCTATTGTTGCAACCGTTGGAGGCCGCATCAGCGATGATGTCTCAAAGCACTGGGAAAGGCTCGCCGAGCGCGTGGCACCAGCGACGCAGGAGCTGTTTCAGAAGAGGCAAACGGCGGCATCACGGCCAGTGCACTTGCCCGAGACGAATACTTCCAGTTGAAGTTAATGCAGTCGGACTTGCAGAAAATTGATAACTACTGCAAGAGGGCGCCAACCTTCATTGATTGGGCTATGTCGCGGTCGCTTCCAAGTGAAGAAGTTGCACGCAATATTTCAGCGAGAACCGAAGAAATCCAGGGAGTGCTGGCATTTGGCTCAGAACATATATCCAGCTGCCTGCGGCAGACCCCGTAACTGTGCCTGTGCAACAACGCTGCAGGAAAGAGACCGAGTGTAGGAGCAGCACAAGTCCGACAAGTGGTCTGAGAAGGACGGGTCGTAAACTCGACGTCGTCTTCGTCCGCGCGGTGGAAAGGAGGTCGAGTTCACACCCCGCGGCAATTCAGCGAGTGGTCTGCATTGGGGACGGTCGTGATCCCGACATCGCTTTGGTCCGCGCGGTAGGGAGGAGGAGAAGAAGGAGGAGGAGAAGGAGGAGGAGGAGAGGGATAATACGAGGAGTAGAAAGCTTCTTGGAACCATCTTGGGGCCTCCAGGGAGCCTCCTGAGGGGCCTCTTGGGCGCCTCCTGGGGGCCTCCTGGGGCCCCTTGGGGGCCTCTTGGGGCCTCTTCGGCTGTTTGAGGGACGCGATTGGCCCGTCGGACACCTTCGGAGGCCGTCTTGAGGGGCCTCTCTGGGTCGTCTTGGTGCCCTCTTGGAGCGCTTTAGGGCCGTCTTGGGGCCCTCTTGGAAGCCCTCTTGGGCAGATTCGGGGCGGGGCTCTCTTGGGGGCCTAGGCTGATTTG